AATAATAATAAAAAGTTGGTCTTGGTTAGTAGATATTTTTCTCTTATTATCTGGCATCTTTGGGTACCTGCTACAGTCTCCCTTTAAAAAGTCTGATAAAGTAGCATAAAGTGTCTGGATTATAATTTCTCACAGCACTCCTGACCTAGCATAGTTCTGGGGCATTATGGGAAATTAACAAGGGAAATTTAATGCAGCTACCTAAGGTTGCTGGGAATTCTGTCACCACTACCAGTTAAGTCACACTTTTAGAGTTCTCACACCAGCAAACAGTTCATAACACCTATGGCTCAGCAAATAATAACACATTCTTATGCAGAGATGGCTGGTCAGGGAATTTAATAGAAACTCATTTATTAACTTGCAATTTATAGTTCAGCATGAGATGGCTGGATTTTGTTCTTGAAATGGATCCAAAACTAATCAGACTGTCAGCTGATCTTTAAACATTGCGGTACCAGTTTTAAGTGCCCTGCTGTATTTTTCTTATTATCGTCTTAAAACTGTGGGAAGCCAACTTTCATAAGGAAATAAGTACCAACATGTGGAAGAATATATGGAATAAATGGGTTTTTAAAAGCATATCTGTGAGGATAAAAGAAAATTGTTATAAAATAGTTTGGAGATGGTATTTCACACCAATAAAACTGAATTATTTAGGTTCCAAATATTCTGCATATGTGGTGGAAACATAATTATGAATTTTTGGAAGTTGGTATTTAAAGAAATTAATGAAATATTATGTACTAAAATTGCAATTTTATCTATCTTTTAGAAGTATCAATGGAGTTGGTTGAAAAGCAAATAAATTAGAAATTTAATAGTTGCAACAGAAGTATTTATAGCGAAACATTGGAAAGATAAATATGACTTTCAGTTAAGTGAACGGTATACAGAAGTATGGAATTTAGCCATTTGGGACAAGTTGACGCATAAGATTAAAATAAAAAAAATGTTCAGAATAAAGGGATTTAGTGATATATGGGGAAATGTTATAGTATTTATTCTAGTGAAAGAGAAAGGGCAGCACCAGCACAAGAAACATGGCATTTTTGGAAAGTACAAGGGAATTTGTAATGAGAAAGAGAAAATATATATTAATAATAATAGTAATAGTGTAAATATCTCAAAAGGTCCCAGTGGTGGGGAGCACTAAATGTTAGCAATGAAGACAGCTGTATATTGAGAGGCATTACTTTGAATTAATGATGACATTTTTATTTTTCTCGATTTTGTTGTTGTATTGTAGGGTTTTTTAAAATAAAAAATAAAAATAAATAAAAGCAGCTACAGTACCTAACATTGCTGGCAATGCTGTCCCCACAGCCAGTGAAGTCACACTCCTGGAGTTTTCACACCAGCTAACAGTGCATAACACCTGTGGCTCAGCAAACAATGACATGTTCTTATGCATAGGTGCACTTATTGCCTGGTCAGTGGCAACTCATTTATTAACTTACAACTGGTAGTTCAGCATGAGATGGCTGGATTTTGTTCTTGGAATGGATCCATAACTAACCAGACGTTAGATAATCTTTAAAGTTTGTGGTAACATTTTAAGTGCCTTGCTGTGTTTTTCTGATTATCTGGTTGATAAATTACGAAGACCTTTTTGGTCTCTGCTAAACAGTAAGAAAAGTGTTCAAGTGTATGGAGTGAAAGGATAGCTAAGTCTGAAATTAACCACTAGTAAGGCAATGCTCTGTGTGTGCGTGCGTGCATGTGCATTTGTACTGCTATGTTCTGCGCTCCCCCACTTCTGTTGCTTGGTTTTGAAAGCATATGTAATATTCTAGGGTTCACATCCAAATTGTTGTGCACTGTTAAAATGCTTCAGCATAAAGGGCATCAGCTGTGACATAGGACTTCCAACAGAGAAGGGTGAGACATGGGGGGAGTGCAAGAATGGCTGCACCTTGATGGAGGTAAAAAGCCATTTTTCCAAGGTGAAAAAGAATGGGAAAGAGAATGAGCCACTGATTCCTCCTCTCCCCCACTCTTGATACACCACGGCCGGACAGCTGAACAGCCAGCATCTGTCAAGGCATTTTTTTTGCCCTTATTAGCAGCTCAGTAGGGAACAAACACATGCAAGCATGCATCTCAGATTAGCGTCTTGCAAGTTCTCTCTCAGTGTGTGCACAGCCAGGTGCTTCCTCTGCTTCTCTCCTCATTCCAGCTTTGTTTATAATTGAGCTACCCCCCCCAAATGTCAAGCTGTCCTGAAGTGCTGCCTGCCTGCTACATGCCACAGCACTGAACTCCTTTCCTGAACAAAAAGCAATACAAAACATGGCTAAGATTTTTTGGAAGGTCAAAAAGTCTAGAGACCACCTTTTAAAAAGATAGTATAAAGTATAAAGCAAGGGTCCCCACCCGCAGACTGGGTGGGAAAAGCGGGGCACCCCCCACACTCATGTGCATGTATGAACAAGCATGCATGCATGTACAAACAGCAGTGCAGGGCTTGTGCGGGGTGTGCACTCGTGCGCATGTACAAATGGCAGCACGGCGCTTGTGAGGTGCATGTGTGGTCATGTGCATGCACATGAATGTGCATGCCCCACCACACGCACTGCACCGCTGTACGCTCTCATGGGCACATGATCATGCGTGCATGCGCAAGTCTGATTGCAGGGGTAAGTGCGGGCAGGGGGTGGGCGGGAGATCTGTCTCTGCGGCCCGGTCCGGCTCAGGCCACAGACCGACCGCAGACCAGGGGTTGGGGAACTTTGGTATAAAGCACTCACAGACGACTGGTAATGGCGGGGTTACAAAATATTGTAAATAAATATAAAGCACGAGAAGATTAATGTTATCCAGATATTCGGGTGTTCCCTTTAAGATCAGTACTCAACAGGGAACATAAAGGGGGACAGACACTCCATCACAAAGAGATATGCATCTTTAAATACCATTGCGTTCAAGAAAAGAAGATAATAAATATTCTGGCCTCAACTTATTTTAACTAGATATATAAACTCAAATCCATCCAATTCTGATGTACATTCTTTATTCAACAACTTAAGAGTACAACTAGTAAAGCAGGGGAAACCAATTTGATCTGAAGTTTTTCAGTTGGTATCCCTGTTGGTGTTCATGGTTTTCATAGATAAGAAATCCTTGTAGTCCCTTTCAAACAGTTACGCTGCAAGAGTCAGCAGGGGCAGAGGTTGAAAGCTGTGGAAGAGCAATTTCCATCTCTTCGCATTCCCTCTTTTTAACTATTTATGTTTTTTCAGTTCAACATAACAATAATCTGCATTAGTGCTAACTTTGGAAAATATTTTTTTTAAAGAAGGAAACACTGAACACTACAGCCATTCGGTTGAGGGTACCTGACGCTCCGACGACATTAATTTGCATCAGGTCATGCAATTAACACAGGGCTCAAAAGCAGAGAAATTTGATGCCAACTAAATCATAGCTAAATAAATTAACCCCTGCTGCCAGAACAGAAAGAGATGATTTCCCACTGAAAAACTCTGGGTCTCCTCATACTCAACTTTACATTATGTAATTGTTGGTTTTTAATTCTGTTTTATCTGTGCCAAATCTGACACAAACTGTAGGGCAAATGGCTAGTGTAATCACAAAGACAGGATTTCTACCAGATAGAAAATACAACTGATCAAACATGACCTAAACTAACATAAGGCAATATAACACATACTGGAGCAGAACAGTAAATACATGAGTACTTATGGCATGTGTAGAAGCACAGAGGAAGACTTGCTTTCTTAGGAAAAGTAGCTCAGAATGTTGAAAAAAAGATACACAGAGATCTTGTTCAAATACACACCTTTCACCCTTTGCCAAAAGTTTTAATTTTCTTTTCATTCATACAGTGATTTCTTTGAAGAGAGTTACATTTCCATACACATTTACCTAGAAGTAAATCTTGGTAAATTTAGTGGGCTTTATTCCTCCTAGATAAATTGATTGTAGATTAGCACTCTGAAGCAAACAGGTCTTACTTGAAAATGCAATAGTTCTCTGTTGATCTTACAGTATTTACTTATGAGGACCTCGTACACCTTTTCAATATTCTCTGATCTAAGCATGACTTAGTCTAAAGCAGTGATGGCGAACCTACGGCACGTGTGCCACCTGTGACACGTGGAGACGTCTCCCTTGGCATGCAAGCAGAGCATTACCTTCCCCCTCCCCCTGCTATGTCAGCAAGGTGATGTCTCTGCTTTTTAAGATGCTGTCTAGGTTTGTCATCGCTTTCCTCCCAAGAAGCAGGCGTCTTTTAATTTTGTGGCTGCTGTCACCATCTGCAGTGATCATGGAGCTCAAGAAAGTAAAATCTGTCACTGCCTCCATATCTTCCCCTTCTATTTGCCAGGAAGTAATGGGACCAGTGGCCATAATCTTGGTGTTTTTTATGTTGAGCTTCAGACCATTTTGGTGCTCTCCTCTTTCACCTTCATTAAGAGGTTCTTTAAGTCCTCCTCACTTTCTGCCATCAGAGTGGTATCATCCGCATATCTGAGGTTGTTGATATTTCTTCCAGCAATCTTAATTCCGGTTTGGGATTCATCCAGTCCAGCCTTTAGCATGATATATTCTGCATATAAGTTAAATAAGCAGGGAGGCAATATGCAGCCTTGTGATACTCCTTTCCCAATTTTGAACCAATCATTTGTTCCATATCCAGTTCTAACTGTTGCTTCCTGTCCTACATATAGATTTCTCAGGAATAGATAAGGTAGTCAGGCACTCCCATGTCTTTAAGAACTTGCCATAGTTTGCTGTGGTCCACATAGTAAAAGGTTTTACGTAGTCAGTAAAGTAGAAGTAGATATTTTTCTGGAACTCTGGCTTTCTCCATAATCCAGCGCATGTTAGCAATTTGGTCTGTAGTTCCTCTGTCTCTTTGAAATCCGGCTTGTAGTTCTGGGAGTTCTCGATCCACATACTGCTGAAGCCTACCTTGTAGGATTTCGGGCATAACCTTGTTAGCATGTGAAATGAGTGCAACTGTACGGTAGTTGGAGTATTCTTTGGCACTGCCCTTCTTTAGGATTAGGATGTAGACCGATATTTTCCAGTCATCTGGCCAATGCTGAGTTTTCCAAACTTGCTGGCATATTGAGTGTAGCACCCTAACAGCACCGTCTATTAAGATTTTAAATAGTTTGACTGGAATGCCATCACCTCCACTGGCCTTGTTGTTAGCCACGCTTTCTAAGGCCCACTTGACTTCACTCTCCTGGATGTCTGGCTCAAGGTCAGCAACCACACTATCTAGGTGTCTGGGTGCTGCATGTGTTGCTCTCAAACTAACAGCATATGGGCCAAGGTTTGACTAATTATCAGCATGCATACAACATCAAAAATCACATTGTGAGAAAGCATGTCAAGTTGAGTGTCCCTTATCAAAAATACATACATATAATTATTTCAAAAGTTTGTATAAATTACCTGGCTTGTATTACTTTAATATTTGTTTCCATTTACTAGGGTTAATGGTTATTTTTCGATTAAAAAGTATCTGTATCATTGAAAGTTCTGTTACGTTTTGAAGACAAAAGGTAATGATTAATTCAGACAACTGTATGAGTTGCTTTTTCTAAACTAAAACATAAGTATTCAGATTTAATTGCAGTGTTGGCACTTCAAAAGACTAATTTGGTTTTGTGTCGCCTTTTGGGCACTTGGGCTCAAAAAGATTAGCCATCACTGGTTTTAAAGTATGATGAAGACATTTTTGTTGGCTCTATAAATGCAATTATTCTTAATCAGATAATACTATTCCAGGAAGTGTCAAGTTGACATCAATTAATAAACTTGCTATTTTAAAATCTCATACAATGTAAATCTAGTAATACAATTAAAACATTTTTGAAACACTGAAAAAAATAACAGTTAAGACAAAGAGAGCAGATGGAAGGATTGAAGGAACTGAGATCAAGGACTGAAGATCTTTACTTTTTTTGAATGCTCAGATAAACAGGGCAGGGTTTGAACTGGTACAGAAATACAGGCAATATGGACACAGAAGTAGGCCTCCCAGAGTGTCTCTATATAAAGTCTCACTCTCCTGTGTTTCCATAGAATGTGCTGCTCTCAGAGATGAGAGATAAGAGCCTTTTACCAGCAGACATAGATCTAAACTGCAGTTAATCTGCTTAAAATAGCAGAGAAACAAGCTAGGCAGTGGCGTGGCCTGGATTGCCAGCACCTGGGGAAAAGCATGTACTGCATCCCTCTAACTCAGGGGTCCTCAAACTTTTTAAACAAGGGGCCTGTTCATTGTCCCTCAGACTGTTGGGGGGGGGCGGACTATAGTTTGAAAAAATATGAATGAATGGATCAAGTAAAAGGGGAGAAAAGGACCTGGGTCCTTTTTTTAACTTGATAGGGGTGAATTAATTATTTGAATTAGTTTTTAAGTGAAAAAAAATATACAAGAGGATA